TTTTCCTAACTTCTAGTAAGATTGAGCGTGTGTGTGTGTGTGTGTGTGTGTGTGTGTGTGTGTGTATGGGGGGGTAGGTGCTGGGGAAATGCTTCTAAAGGAATGTTTTCAAGTCCATTTCTAACACTTCATGATATGAAGAGCAAATACACTCATTTGTAACCCCTCGAGAGAGGAAGTGACACTGTCACTTGAAGTGGCTCTGAAGTGGCTGATTTGGTAGTCGGCTCTTGTTCAGGATGCAGAAGGGGAGGACCAAGGCAGGAATGCAATGGGGAAGGTGCGGAAGGGACTGTGGCCGTCCACCAGGCAGGATGAGGAGGTGGAGTGGCTTCCTAGCAATGGTGACCTCCATGCCTGCAGCCCGGGAAACTGGCAGACACACAGGGAGAAACGCTTGCTTGGCTGGGACCGCTCATGGCTTCCAGGGAAGAAATAAAAATACTACTCACAACGCAACGTTCACACCCTGACCTGAGCACCAGGGTCTCGCTGAGGGTCACATACCACACTTCTCATCTGCCTTCATTGTCAAACTCCCCCCAAGGGCTGGGGTGAGGTGGGCTGTGTTTTCTTAATGTAGTCACGATAGTGTGTTCCTGATTTGAATTTTTGTAGCTTCGAGTCTTAAACCATTTTGTGCTGCCAAAACTAATGCATGGTAACAGAAAGCAAGTCAGAGTTGCCCTGGAGATGGAAAGAGGGAAGACTGCAGAGGGGCATGAAGAAACTTCTAGAGTGTGGGATTTTCCATTATGTTGATCATGCAGGTAGCATGCTTGTGATGGTTTTACACTTTAATGTGTTCAACTTTATGGCATGCCATTTTTACCTTAATAAAGCATTGTTTATAAGAAAAAGTCACTAAGACACTTTAGTGGTGGGAGTTCCTTTCCATCCTTTCTAGTAAAACCTCTGTCCCCAGGACACAGTGGACCCTTTCTGGCCTAAGCCCGTGGCGTTGTCTCTGCCTTTGGTTTACCTGACCTCACATCAGCACTTGACTCTGTTGATCTCCTCTTCCTTCCAGAAATATTTTCTTCTCCCTGTGCCTTAACAGTACTCTTTTTGTTTTTGCCTGCTGTTTCTTGTGGCCCTGTGACGAGTGACAACTGTGGTGGAGTTGGAGCCTTGATCTTCAGCCTTCTTTTCCTTTCCATTCACACTTATCTCCAAGGCTGCTCATAGCCCTGCTATTTAGACCATCATCATCATCTGGGCTGGCCAATAGAATTTTCTGTGATAATGGAAATATTCTATATCCGCCTTGTCCAATGTGGCTATATGTGGCTTGGTATGTGATTAGTGTGACTAATAAAATGAATTTTATTTTTTACTGAATTAACTAATTTCAGTTTCAAAGCCACATGTGGTTAGTGTAGCAAACAGTCCAGGTCTAGATCAATGTGTGTTTATAGTCTCTAGGTGGCAGCTCATTAGCTGGTCTTGGCCTGTATTTTTTCCAAAATAAAATAAGAAAAGTTATAATTTTTCATGAAACTCTTGTTTCAGTCTTGAATCTCTATGCATCACAAGTAGTGTGTTTGTTTGTTTTTAACTTGAAAGCCACTGACTTGGATGCTGGTGATGTCCATATTTATGTTTTGGCCATGGGCTGAGACTCTAAGTCCTATTTACCTGTCTTCTTGTCATCTTAGCACAAATCTGTAAACCTGTTGCTTTTGTCTCTCCAATTTCAGCAAATTGTACCCTCGTCCCATCCCATTGCTGAAGAACAATCACCTTCATTTCTGTCTTTCCTGTCCTCCTTCCCCACTGCACTGTACCCCAACATTCCATCCAGCAGCAATGCACATTGGTTCCACCTCCAACATGGACCAAGCCTGCCCATGATTTCCATCAGTGTGCTCTAAGCCACCTGCAGCTTTTCAGTGATGGAGAGTGCTTTTGAGTAATATGAACCAAGTAATGTCAACCATTTTTGATTAGAGATCCTTGAATCTTCCTTGAACATCAACTGTAACCATCTGTAAACTTGTCTGCTAGGGGTGTTGTCATGTTCCTGTAGGGAGACTAAGTATTGATCTTGTATTTTTTAACTCATTCAGCTGAATAGCAAGAAGTGCAAATTTAATGAACAGTTTAATATACTGCATTGTACATGAACATTGTTCATGTACAATGCAGTATATTAAGATATAGACATATAATTAATTGATATAAAATTAAAATGAGAGTTTTCCATTAATATTAGTACATCATAAACATAAGACAGATCTCGTCATTTATTTAAACTTTTTAACCTCTGAGATTTATGCATATCATGACAAATTTTTAAGAAAATTTGATTTAAATTACCAAATCACTTTTGTCTTGAAGAGAATGTCTATAGTTTGAATACATTATTCTTTATGTGATTTTAGTGTTTACTTTATGAAAAGCATGTTATTAAAATAGTGCAAAAAATTACCAGAGTTGCTAATAAAATAAATAACAGGGTTTGTGATTCTGACCTTGGCTTAAAAAAAAAAAGAAAGAAAGGAAGGAAATTACAGTTAACTACTGAAACTCTTTGCAGTAGTCATTTTCAGAACACATTTTAAAAGCAAAAAAATTGAAATTATGTACTCAGGATATTGTATATCAGTTGGTTAAATCACATAGTAAAGGAAACAATAGTAAAGACTTTAACTTTTCAAAATGAAAATTAAAAATAGGGCTGGGGATGTGGTTCAAGCGGTAGTGCACTTGCCTGGCATGTGTGGAACGCTGGGTTCGGTCCTCAACATCACATAAAAATAAAAATAAAAAATAAAGATATTGTGTCCACCTAAAAAAACTAAAAAATAAATATTGAAAAATGGGAAAATATCACAGTAGTCAAGCTATGGGATCAACATAGGTGCCCTTTAAGAGATGAATGGATAAAGAAAATGTAGTGTATTTACACAATGGAATATTACTCAGCCATAAGGAAAAATGAAATTGTGGCACTTGCTGGTAAATGGATGGAACTGGAGACTATTATGTTAAGTGAAGTAAGACAGTCCCCAAAAACCAAAGACCAAATGTTCTCTCTTATATGTGGATGCAAACCCATAGCAAGGAAGGATAGGGAGAGGAAGAATAGAAGTTCATTGGGTTAGACAAATGGGAATGAAGGGAAGGAAGAGGAATAGGAATAGGAAAGACAGTAGAATGAATCTGACATAACTTTCCTGTGTTCGTATTGAATACATCACCAGTGTAACTCCATATCATAAAAAAATAAAAATGGGAAAAAATAACATTATTTCACACAAGAAAATCCTTTAAATTAGATAGGCAGAGTTCAGAAAATTGAAATAACCCTATAAATAAATAAATAAATATATATATTGGTCTGTCCAAGGTTGGAGATGGTGGGGATTAAAGGGATAGCTCTCCAAAGGGAAAGTCCACCTGCAGACAAAGACTCACACATAAGTTAGTTGTGCCATTGTTCATGAAAATCCAGGAACCGTACAGAGCTCCAGGGATGGGGAATTAAGCAGACTGAACCACGTCCCTACAATAAAGACTGTATAACACTAACATTAACCTTGAGAGAGCCTGTTTAATGTTGTGGGGAAAAGCTTCTGACATAACACTAAGTGGGAAGAAAGGATGTGGTTACACAGTATGATCTTAATTAAGTAAAAACAATATCCATGGAGGAAAACTTCTTCATAGTGGTTAATTCTAAGGAGTACATCATTGCTGATTTGTATCTTCCAAATTTTTTAGAAAAGGCACATATTACTTTCATAATGGCAAAAAGACTATTAAAAGCAAATTGTGTCAGACAAAATGTTAACTACTTAAATTTATGGGGGCTTGGAGCTGGAGAGCAGTGCAGGGCTCATTTGGTCTCGGGCTCATGGCAGGGCTGCACTGGAGCAGGGAGATTGCTCAGAGCTGGGTCTGGAGCGCCTGGAGGGACCACAGGGTTTCTAGGTGGTTTTGCTTTCAGGTGGCCCCTGTATGCTCAGTTCACTACCTGTTACTTGCTGATCAGAAAGTCAGACACCGGCTGTCATTCTGTCTTTGACAAATATAAAATAGGAAGAGGAGGTAATCATTACCTAATACATGTGACTTATTTAATAGCTTATTTAAAACACGAGGCAACAGTAATAGACTCCTGGTGTCATAAAGTGTGGGACCATTCTAGATGGTTTATCAGTCTTTGGGCTCTGATCCCTTTGCAGGTTATGGAATCATCTTAGTGGGTCTCATCTAGCATTCCTTTGTAAATAAAATTAGAATGAAATAGAAAAAAAAATCAGAGAATAGAAAATAGGCCTTGCATATAACGAGTTCCGCAACTTTTAATTTCAGGTATGTGTAGTTACTGGATGTTTTTTTTTTTTTCCCTCCTCCTCCTCCTCCTCCTCCTCCTCCATTTTTTAGTTGTATTTGGACACAATACCTATATTTTATTTATTTATGTCTAGGTGGTGCTGAGGATCGAACCCAGGGTCTCTCACACACTAGATAAACGCTTTACTGCTAAGCCACAACCCCAGCCCTAAAATGTGATTTTCTTTTGTTTTGTTTGCCTATGATTTGCATTCAAAAAAGTGGACTCTTCCTATGATCTAGACCAGTTGTTCTCAGGGTGTTCCTAGGCCCAGCAGTGCCAGCATCACTCGAGAGCTTGTCAGAAATGCAGAGGCACCAACCTGCACCTATTCAATCAAAAGCTACAGGTGATGCGTGCGCACACAGTGAAGTCGAGGAACACCAAACCACGCACACTACCTGAGGCCACAGGTAGCATCAGTGAGTGGACACAGCCTGCCTTCCTCCTGGAAGAGAAAGAGAGGGAGAAAGAATGCTTCCATGAAGTTCAAGTGCTCTTCCTTTGTTTAAAAATATTACTGTGTTCTACCAGTTAGGGTTAACACCAAATTGATCAACTAAATGAACTACGGTTAACATTAATTATGTTCAGCAGATTTTTAAGCACACTTTTTAATAGTGCGACCTCTCATGTGAACTTCTTTGATCTCTTTTAGGAATTTATCAAAGAGCTGCTCTCCCGGATAAGAGGCATGAGGAAACTTAGCCCTCCACAGAAGAAGAGCATATGATTTTGGAACAGGGTAGAACTGTCTCAGAGACAAAGTGTCCTGGGATTTGGACTTCATGAAGACTTTTATTAAACAATATTTGTCCTTATGAACAACTTCTTTTTTGGTGTGTGGGGAGGGAATCTATTAGACATTTATTCAAGAGTGTTCATTTTTGTTCTTGTTGTTTTAAAGGTTTTTCATTAGTGTAATATTTTAATAGCAAAGATATCATGACTCTTGACTGCAGCCCTACTGAGGATCCTCAAAGCAGGGGGACTTCCAAGGGTGGGCCAGGACAGGCAGTGTTTTCTTCAAGGTCTCAGATGTTTAGTACCTTACTATGCAGGGAAGGTGGCTTTCTTACAACCAGTTTGGTAATGTTTTTTTCTTAACTTGTACATTTGACTCAGATGTCAAATTTCCTGTACTTGTATATATCTACACACGACTAAGTTAAAATGTAGATGTGAGTTTTATTTCACATGGATGGAACAAACTTGTGGTCATCCTTTCATGGGAGGTCACAGCACATGTATTTCCAAGAGGCCACTGGGCATTCTTCATGTGAGTGCTGTTGACCTTCAACATTCACTTTCTGCACCAAAGTGGAAGAATCTAGTGTACCCATTATTCTAATGTGCTACACTACGAAAACGTTGAGTTGGTCAAGGGCTTAATTTGTGGACTTTATGTGATTTCATTGGTCAGGACGCTTTGCCAGGTCCTATGCTTATTGCCTCGTTTGTGGTTGTTTAAAATTTTATGAACCCTTAACTTGAAGAGCTAACCTGATTTCTAGAGAAATGCCCACGCTGTCTGAGTGGTGTTTTGCAATGGAAAAAGGAAGCACTGTGTAGCAATGAGTTCTCTGCTTTCAACCAAATACTGTGTGTTATTCCCTCTTCTGGAAAGCAGGTCAAAAGGAAGTTAGCAGATTGAGCATCCAGCTCCCTAGAAATGAACTCTGGGTCCCTCTGTGCCTTGTAACATCAGACCAGAGGTGGGTTAAGGAAGTGCTGAGGGAGTGTGGAGACAGCAGGGCCTCACCTTCTCTCAAGACAGTTCCATTTTTGGCTTTACTCAGTGGCTCATGACGAGGACTCTGAAGACTCCTGGCCCTAAGTATGACCTGGATCTCATGCCTGGAGCTAGACCCGAGCACCTGCCCTGCCCCTTCAGTTGCTTACCAACTCATTGGAGTAGAATTATCATTCATATGGGATGTGGGTGGGGTAAAAGGTGACAGTAGAAACTCTTCCCTCCGGGAGGCCCTGTGGCCTCCCCATGAAACCCCACCTACTATAAGATGTCTCCAGGTAGCCCTGTCTGAGGACAGGGACCAGGCATTTTATATCAAGGGTGCTCTGAACATATTTTATTTTTTAAAAAGAACAATGTTTGTGAATTCTACGTATACTGGCAAGCTTTTGAAAATGTATTTAATTTTGTAATGTTTACCAATGATTTATTTACAAGCTATGTACTCAAATAAATGGAGCTGCTTACAAACCTCATATGTCTTGCAGAATTTATTAACATGGTGATTGCAGGCAGGTAATCCTAGCTTCCTCCTGGGGCCTCTTCAGATCAGGGGTGGAAACAAAGGACCCAGACACACTCTTAGCCTGGCAGGCTTCTACTCCAGCACTCACCTAGGCCAGACCCTGTTTATTTTATGAAAACTTCCCTTTGTCATCTCAGAAAAATCCTCAAGAAGATTTCAAATTGAAAAAAAAAAAAGCCAAATATTGTCATAATGCCATGGGTGGTATAAAAAAAAATTGCAGGGTTTCTATAAGCTTAACAGCCCAGATTATGGTCTTCCAGTGAAGCAAGAATGATCATCCTGCTCCCTGCTCAAACCTCACCTCCTGTGTCTGCCTTCAGAGGTGCTGGCTCCTGCCTCTCCCGCTTCTTAGCCCATATCCAATCCCACGGAATTCCTGGTGATTTCTGGAATATTCCATGTCTTTCCTCCTCTGAGGCTCTGTAAGATCTGTTGCCTTGGCCCAGAATACCCTCCCCAGCAGCAGTGTTCACAGAGCTGGATTCCCTTCCTCGCAGCTCCAGCATCACCCCTGTAGCATGCACCACAGTGCCACTCTGCCTGCCCTGAAGAGGCCTGAAGGCCTCTTCTGTCAGCCTCTGACATCCTGGAGGTTGGGACTGGTACTTAACCCAGCATCTGGTCCTGTGCTTGGACTATCAAAGAGACCAATGCATGTTTGCTGATTGAATGAATGTGACAAAGGTTCTTCAAGAAGTTTCCTTCCTAGCTAGGGTGATGGTTCTTAGATCTGAATTTCCATCTGAATCACCTGGAAAGCTTTAGAAAAAAAAAAATGATGCCTAGGCTTCAGTCTATTGTGACCAATAAAATCAGAATCTCTAGGACCATAGAGGCATGCTTATGTCATCTAATGTGTTGGTTTGAGCTCAGCCTTCCATATTTGTAGTACTACAGTAGGTGGCAGTGATGACGTCAGACACTGGTTCTTTCTCATACTGCGGGGAATGGGCTAAAAGTATCTAATTCTATATCAGTGCTCACTTGAACACTGGGAAATCTGTTTAAGCTTTATGGGGTGGCTTCCATTTTTAACAATCATAATAAAAGCACAACGCTAAGTGCTTACATGACTTATCTCATTTAATCCTGACCTTAGTCTTCTGAGGTAGATTGTCTTCTCATTTACATATGAGAAAATAAACTCAGAGAGGTTTATTGGCTTACCTGAGGTCACACAGTTCCAAAACTGAGATTAAAACCCAAGCCTATTTGACTCCAAAGCCCCATAACCACTGGACTTTTCTGTCTCTAGCTACTCTCTGACTGATAGAAGTGAAACCCAGGAATTGCCTCTAAATTGAGCCAGGCCCTGAGCTGGTGGATGCAGGTGAAGGTTTTGTGGATGAAGAAGGACCTCGAACACCTGCAGCATTCTTCCTCACTCCTGAGAACAGGGGGCTCCCTGCCCCTCCCCTTCCCTGGGCTGCTGGCCTGTGTCCAGGTTTTGCCTTTTCCCTGATGTAAAGTCCCTGGCCTTGGGCTCAGTAGCTGAGAATGAAATATCCGTCCATCTATTTCCTGAGAAGGCAACTTTTGGGGCAAGAGAAGCTCTGGATAAAGTACTTTTTAATTCCTGGAACATACTGATATTGGGTTATTATTTGTCACCTAAAGTCCCCATAAAGTATTGCATGCTGTGCAGAATCAGCTTAGCAACAATAGAGGAGCTTATGGCTATATCTGGATCTTTCTAACAAGGCACAGCAGTTGGGAATATGAGCCCCTTTCAACACGTCTACTGTTTAACAAGAGAAGGACCGGCCACACAGCCATGGGTCACAGCCCCCTTTTCACATCTGAGTCTTCAAGAACCTGGGGATTCCCTCTGCTTCTTGGAAACCTTCCTGGGATCCAGCCACATTGGGAGGGCTGCCCTACCTCCCTGTCACCTTCCTCCTCTGACTCCTGTCCTAGGGTACTGGACTCAGGACCCTTTAATTGTACTGCATGCCCTAACAGGACACAGTGGGAAGTGCTGTCTTTGTCTGTGGTCCATCTAAGAAATAAAACATTTGGAACTCTCTGGAAGCCATTTTAAAATTGGACACAGACAGATATACCTGTATTTTTCCCCACCTTTTCTCTTGAATTCATTTTAACCCAGATGATCCTAGAGAGGTATTACTAAGAACTAGCTTCGTTTCCTTTGGGATATGGAGAATAATTTATGGTGTGTATCTTTGAAAAAAATTGAATGCCTTCTCCAAGCCTCCTACAAGTGAGAAAGAGCTGTCCAGGCTCCATGGAATTCCCTCCAGCCCCCACTCAGAAATAATGCTGCAAGAGGTTTTTTGTTGTTGTTGTTTTTTAAAGCATTCTGTTACGGTCTTTCATGAACACTGAATAGTCCTCACTTGTTGACCGGTGTAAGTTGCCTGGGGATGACTGACAAAGGTTCTTCAAGAACGTATTGTATTCCCTACTATATGTGTGTATTGTATTCCCTACTACACCACACCAGACAGACCTCTCAAAGGGCACTGATATTAAAACATCTGCAAATTAGGTCCTAGACACTTGCTTTTCTGTTAATTCTACTGGGTCAACCATGTAAGGCCACATTTGTCTTTGGTATTTGTTCCTTTCATGTTTGAGCTCCTTGGTGGGTGTTAAATGAAACTGACTGGGTGGCCTTCTTTGGGCTCATCTTGTTCTGGTGGACTCTAGAAGTAGGTGGTCCTAGCAAGAATGTGTGTGAGGGGGGAGTTGTATTTCAAGGGAATTGCTTGATCATCTTCAAATGAAAGTTCTTAATTTCATATTGCAGTTATTAGAAGACAATTTTATATGGGCCCCCCATACTTGTGCATGTTTTTTGAGCACAGACTGCTTTATATCAGATCATCTTTTCAAGAATATTTGTGCAGCAGATAGCTTTGGAAGTTAGCAATAATGCTTCCTTCCAGATCAAAGTAATGGGCAGGTATCTTGCTGCCCATTATAAAAGATTTGGGTTCCCTAAATTCAGAGTACCATCTGCTGGAAAACAACCCACTACATGTGCAGGTGTCATCTGTACTTCTTTGCAACACTTTATGGAGATTGGGACTTTAAAGAAATTAACATTAAAAATTGACTCCAAGCTCAGAATGGCAGCTCATTCTGTAATTCCAGCTACTTGGGAGACTGAATCAAGATGATTGCAAGTTCAAGGACAGCCTTGGCAACTTAATGACCCTGGCTCAAAATAAAAATGGTTGGGCGTATAAAACACCCCTGGGTTTAATACCTGGTACCACACACACACACACACACACACAAAAAAAAAAAAACATACAAATTGATACTCAAAAGTGCTGTTACTCTGGCTACTGCTGTTTGAGTAATAAACTGTCCTTCCTTTGGATCCAGGGGTTTTAGATCTTTTACCAGCATCTATGAACTGTGGCATGCCAACTCGTGAGCTAATAGTACAGTAAAATCTCAGACCCTAAACAAGTCTTAACAA